GGGTCACATTGACTCACATTTAACTGTATGCATGATGCTCGCCTTAAAATTTAATTGGTGTGGTTCATGTATGAATATTGATCTAATTTTTGACATTTGTATTTAAAGTTTATGTAACAAATATTAATGAACTTGCAATTTAGAAATCAATGAATTTTGAAAAAAAATCATTTATGTTTGTAAGTTAAGACATGCTGGGACATTCCATGTTATGAAGTCTGACAGACAATGAGATGGAATGAGTACTTTGGTTCCCAAGCCTCTTTTTTAGTGTCCTTCCCGTTCTTCCTTTCATGTGACATTCCTGTTTGATTTCTGAGTAGGTCTCTAAGGTTAACTAATTCCTCATTTTATCGTATTTGTTGTGTTCCTTCAGGTGTATCTTTGCTGCTTAACTTGCCTGCATGTTGAACCTTTCATATTATAGGATTACTCTGCATTTTGTTTCAAGAAAGCTACTGCTTCAAGACATTGCAAATATAATTAATTCTTACATTCCCTTTGCTTTGATCAAATTGCAAATTAAGCTTTACATTTCAATTGCAATCTTTTCAGATGGACCTTCATGAGGTGGCCCAGAGAATTGAGAACAATAGTCCACCTGCAGAGATTTTTCGGTCTTTGCTTCAAAGTACGGAATCTTTACAGCGTAGTGGAAGTACTGATCAAAGTCTTGTTGATGAACTGTGTAGTGCGGAGGGCCTAGCAAACGTGAGTAGCTTGCTGCATTCAGAATTTGAGTCTGATTTTTGATTAGGGTGTGATCTCATTTTTATGTCCAAATCCTGCAGGAATTCATGCAGATGCTGCGCAGTGATGTTTCCCAGAGATTCCAGGATAAACAGTGCCAATAGGAAACATTTTTTAATCTATTTTTCCGCAAAATTTGATTTATTTCCAATAGAATGTTAAGTTGCCGTTTGTTTTTGGCCTCAAGTCAACTATCGATTATGATAGTCTCTCTTCTTTTTTGGGGTGTCATGGAGGAAAAATATCATTATGCTATTCTGGTGTGTATATACGCATGGGATAGTTATTATTGCTAGTTCTGTGTTAGTAACTTATAACGCCTGCAGTACAAGAAAGAGTTTAGAACCGGCTAATCAGACTTGCGGTGGAGTTTATGTATCTTTCGATGGTGCGAGTTTTTTCTTAAGAAATTCCATTTTGCGATGTAGATTCGATCTTTTCCCTTTATTTGGGGCCTGCTTGCAAGTTTTGCAGCCCGCCTCTGTCATTATCCAAATCAGGTTCACTGTTGTAGATTTGGCCGCTAATTGACAATGTTGTGGGTAGGGGTGTTCGTGGTTCCGTTTGGTCGGTTTTTTCCTAAAAAGAAACCAAACCAAGTAAGTTGGTTTTTCAAATATTGGAACCAAATCAAATTAATTAAGTCGGTTTTTTATCGATTCGGGTTTTGTCGATTTTTCTGTTTTTTTGGTTATTTATCACGCACTATCAAACACATATTCTGGTGATTACATTTTCATTGTAACACTATCAAATCAATTGCTCTTTGAGAAAAGAATGTAAAGGCAAAGAATTAGATTATTATAATAGTAAAGAATTAAACTAAAAATACAAATGACTAATATGTACCATAAAATTTTAGAAATTTTATATAAAAATATACATATGTATATATATATGTGTGTGTGTAATAATAAATTTAAATAGCTACTTTTATAGTCCGTTTAGTTTGGTTTTTTTCGCTTATGTTTTGTTTTTGAAGATTTAACCTAAATAGCCGCCCACCTAATTTCTTAAACTTAAAATAGCCGGCGGATGTATAATATATGAATAATTCATATACAATATATGTATAGCTATGTATAATTAATGTATTGTATAATATATGAATAATTCATATACAATATATGTATAGCTATGTATAATTAATGTATTGTATAATATATGAATAATTCATATACAATATATGTATAGCTATGTATAATTAATGTATACTATATGTATACCGACTATAAAAAGTAAACATTAAATCGGAGCGGCTATTTGTGTAACAATCCCTATTTTTTTTTTATTAAAATCAAAACCAAACCAAATTTAATTGGTTTTTAAAATTCAAAATTAAAACCAAACTAAACCTAAAAAGTATCAATTTTTTGATCGATTTAATTTGGTTTTCGGTTTGATTCGATTTTTTAGGGTTTTATGAACCCCTGGTTGTGGGGATGCAAAGTTTGTGACAGAAGAAAATGGACTTGAGGTAGTAATCAATTGGTGCATGTGGCAGTGAAGTTGGGACATCGAAATCAAGGGTTTGGTGGAATGTCCAGTTCTGAAATAAGTGCAGATTATCTTGTCCTATACGTCGTGATACAATAACAGTAAATACGTCTGTGTATCGGCTTCTCACGGTAAAGTTGACTGTATCGGTTGTATAGTCGGTCATCTCTATAACCGTATTCTATATAATAATACTTTACTATAAAAGTTAAGATTTTTCGGAATTAATTTTCATGTTATGTTATAATATATGTTCTTTATAACAACACTTTACTATAACATCCAAAAATATTCGTAATAAACGAGGTTGTTATAGAGAAGTTTGACCGTAATATTTGTTTCACTCTCTGTGTCTGAAGTATGATTGAGTTGATGATGCAATGACATGTTGACCACAAAAGAAAGAAAGAAAGCAACTCGGCTGTCGATTGTTTGAGAAAACCATCATCCTTTAAACTTTCAATATTTTAGATTGATCTATACTTGAAAAAATTTGCAAAGGGTCGAATCCATCAACTTAAAATTTGGGATTTGAAGATTTTATCTAATAGCAATCCTCCTTGTCAAAATCAAATTATAGATCCGGTATTTAGGGCCGTTTGAACATAAAATTTGATGGAAGATATTTCCAAAAAAAATTTATTTTTTTTCGAAATCAACGTTTGTTCATAAAAATTTTAATTTTCACTTGAAAATGTATTTTAGAAATTTTCAAAAATTTGAAAAACTGCAAAAAGATGTTTTCAAAATTTTCACTCAAATCACTCACAAAACTTCAAAAACAACCCAAACTGAAATTTATGTCCAAACACAACTCTAAATTTCAAATACCATTTTCACTTGAAAATTTTTTTTACCATTTTTTCAAAGTTAACAATTCTTATGTCCAAACGCCTACTTAGTCCACCTCATCAAATTTTACAGCGGTCAAGTAAATCAAGTTCACAAAAAAAGAGTAAATTCTTTAACACCAATTAATGTATCGTTTTCTTTCGACTAGATCATGATCATAAGAAAGTATTGAAAAATCTTTCTCAAGTGAAAGTACGTGATGCTGATTTAAGGGATTTTTACTTTCTTATACTACATATGAAACTTTATTACCCTCCATAATCAAGTTTTAACTTAATTACATGGTCATATACAATTTATCAATTATATACAAATAAGTTTTAAATGAGTATCCCTTTATATTAGGAATTAAATAAGGAATATCAGATATTTCCCTATCCCTTTATACCTGCCCCCTCTTTCTCTCCGTCTCTCTCTCTCTCTCTCTCTCTCTCTCTCTCTCTCTCTCTTCGTCTCTCTATTTCTCCTCTGTTTTCTCCCCATTTTTTTTCCTTTGATGTTCTCTGTTTTTTATACTTTCTTATTGTATAGAGTTTTAATAGAATTCATCAATGGATTTCAATTGTTTTACTATAGAGTATAGACTTAGAGTTTTAACTTATCAATTTCCTTTCATGTTGCTCAATTAATGTTCAAATTAAAATTGTCAATCAATAAATTTTGAAGGTGTTTTGATTCTTCACCATGACATCCATTAAAAAATTTCGAAACTTTGAATTCGAATTTGGATTTTCAAAAACTATTATTTATTTGGATTGGGTGTTGTTGCAAATATTTAAGAATATTTTTTGGAGTTTATATCTCAAGTTTGAGCGCGTTTGGTGAAGATTAGACTTGATTTTGGCTCAATTTCAGATTGAAAATCGAAGAAGAGAAACACATGACATACAATATACTTACTTGATTTTGAGGGTGTTTGGTGAAGTTGTATTATAAGCAGCTTATTTTTCTTTTCTACTTTTCATGTGGGACTTTGTTCACACACTCCCAACAATCTCCCCCTTGAACTAAGTTCCACATGACCCATCACTATTTATGAGCTAATTTGGAGATTAACTGTGTGCCACCCACATGATCCGAGTATTTACGGTCACTGAAGCTTAAGCCCGAAGCCCAAAGAGAGACCGTGTATGCATCTTTGAAACAATGGGTAAAGGTAGTGAACTGGGCCCATAAACGGGCAAAGGCATTAAGTCTGGCCCTACGCCATCACTTCGCCATGTCCATACTCATCTCGCCAAACCATTGGCTCTGATATCATTTGTTGCGCTAAAACGACTCAAAGATACTCTTAACATTGTGTGATATTGTCCGTTTTGGGTTAAGTCTGCACGGTTTTTCCCAAAAAGTTTCATACCATTAAGAGTATCTAATTCATTATAAGAAGCTTATTTTTCTTTTCTACTTTCTATGTGGGACTTTATTCACACACTCCCAATAATATGTTAGGATCGAAATAATCAGGTGTCACGCGGAAAGTAGTAAAGCAAACCTTAAACGACGATAAATCAGACAAAAAAGAGAGAAATATACCAAAAAAGACACAAACATTTAACGTGGTTTGGTCAATGACCTACGTCTACGGTGGAGATGAGCAATCAACTATATAAAACGAGTACAAAATATCGAGAGAACAACCTCACGAAGAGGCAAACACAAGTGACACATTAACACTTGTCCCGAAAAGTCCTTCCTCCTAAATAAGACTTTCAAACCACTTATGGCTACATTGTGGATGGTGCTAAATAAGAAGGAAAAATCTTCAATTTATAGAAGTCCAAACATTTTCCTCCAAAAAAAGGACTAGCCTAATATGAAAGAATTATAATTTTCTTATCGGAAAAGAAAAACTCAATTATGAAAAATGTGTTGTCCTTCCTTCAAGAATAGAATAACTAATATAGTAAGAAAATCAAGGCAAACACCTAACAATTTTTCCAATTGGCTTGAATTTTCTGACAAAATAATCTTGATCCACCTTCTTCACATAATCTTCAATAGGCCACATCTCCAAATCTCTACCACAAAATTTGTCTCAACGCGAGTAGTACTCTAATCAAATTTCTCAGACAAAAATCATGATTATCGTCAAATAAATTGCGGCTAGAACTAAACTTGCCTAGATGAACCTGTCTCGAATATCGCTCTGATACCACTTGTTAGGATCGAAATAATCAGGTGTCACGCGAAAGCTAGTAAAGCAAACTTAAATGACGATAAATCAAATAACAAAATATAATTATAACAAAAGAGACAAACATTTAACGTGGTTCGGTCAATAGCCTACGTCCACGGGGAAGATGAGCAATCTACTATATAAAAGAGAGTATAAAATATCGAGAGAACAACCTCACAAAGAGGCAAATACAAGTGACACACTAATACTTGTCCCCGTTCTCCCCCCCTAAACAAGACTCTCAAACCTCTTATGGCTACATTGTGGATGTTGCTGAATAAGAAGGAAATATTATCAATTTGTAGAAGTCCAAATATTTTCTTCCAAAAAAAGGACTAGCCAAATATGAAAGAATTATAATTTCCTTCTAGGAAAAAAAATTCAATTATGATAAATATGTTGTCCTTCCTTCAAGTAATATGAAAACTAAAAATGGTAAGAAAATCAAGTCAAACACCTATGATTTGTTCATTTTTCTCATTTCGTTCATAAGTTTAAATTCATTTTTCTTCTTGAACTGAATCCAATATTTTGTGCAATTTCCATATCACTGCATGTGTACCCTATCATGGATCCGTTTCTGTATGACGTATATTGGTTTTAATTATTTCGTTTAGTGGATAGGATCATTTGCTTTAAATTTATCCAGATGACCTCTTTAATAGCGCTACATCTTGCTGAAGTCGTATGAATTGCCTTGCAAGCACTACATAAATCTCATTATTGTCAAAAGAATTATTAAAAAGTAACAACGAATTCGTTTTCGTCAAAATCAACAAGTCAGGGGCGACCCAACTATATTTGGGGCCAAAAGTCATACTTCAACGAGGGGCCTTAAATTTTTGGTATTACAAAAAATAATTTAGTAAAATTTTATTTAAAATTTATTTTTCTAACTTTTT